ATATAAGTTGTTTTACTAAAAAAATTATAAATAAAAAAAAGCTCATAAAAGTAAATCTATTAAATAGTTTTAGTTTAATTTTAAATGTTATTATTTTTCATAAGAACTTCACAATAGTTTTTAAGTTAAAAAAATATCAAACTAAACAGACATTAAATGTAAAACTGTTTGTGTCATCTTTTTTCTTTGTACTCCATTTTCATCAATTATGTTAAATTCAAGTGGTGTAAAACTTTACAATTTTTTTTATTTTTATTTGAGGGATGGACTGAGGAGATATTTGAAATTAACTCTATGCATTATTATTGAATTAAATATTAAATTATTATTTCATTATTTTAAATAGATGTATGTATGAATATTTTACGCAGCCAAACATACATTCAGTCATCCAAAAAAAAATAATAGTAAAGTTGGGTTTAGGCATTAAGTTGGAACAAGTGAGAAAAGAGGCTGTGTCACAAACTCATATTTTCAACATAAAAGATACTTTAAGGAAATGAAGTCAAGACTTATTCTATATTTTATTGATATGGGATCAGTGACAGTTCCATTCTACTCCACTTGATTATGCAATGTTTTTATTGACTTTTTTAGCATAAAGAAGAGAGACTTACTTTGGTTTGGACTTATTTCAATCTTATTATTTCGAGATCCCACATCAGTGAAGAGTTAAGTAGACTTTAATACTACTTATCACAAATCCATATTTCAAGCCTAAAAAATATACCTATTAATTGAATATGAGATCCATAACATTACATTTTGCTTAAGCTCAAATAATTGACTTATGAACCTAATCAAAGTGTGAAGGCAATCTCTTTTCACAACACCATGAGTAACATCTTGATTACCAAATACATTTTCAATACCCTGTCCTAGTCTCCCACATCCATGATCTAGGATTAATCCTCTTCAGCCATCCCTGGGGATGGCGACTGCACTAGCATCTGCAGATGCAAGTTAATTGGGAGAAAAATAAAATGGGAGCTACTAGCTTAACCAAAAGCTGTGATGGCGGAAATAAAATCTTTGAAATTGTCATATTTGCTTTGTAATGACAATAACGTCTCTGATTCTAAATATATGTAGTATATATGGGCGTGGTAGATGGATGGGTTTTGATAATTCTTCATAATATTAAAAAATTTTCTTCAATTTATTCATGGTAGCTAGCCATCTACTTCACTTGATTTTTGTTCCTTTACTAGACTTGTTATGGTGTTTTTTGAACTCTGAAGGCCAAGTAGTTTGATCAGATTTAATTGATCATGGAACAAAAAGAGACCAAAATAAAACTGACTAATAATATTGAAGAAATTTTATTATTACCTTATTTAAGCAATAATTATGCCACTTTTGACAATCATATAGGCATAATGTTAAAAGTAATTAATCAGATGTTTAAAGAGAAGGTGAAGGTGATGCAGGTCTGTTGACACAGTCATTCCAAACTTGCTCCCCTTCAGCGTAAACATCAGAAGCATTAAGCTTCAACTCAGGCAGTGACACAAAAAACTTGACCATGTCATCATGGCAAGTTTTTCCCATACGAACAAGCTCATGGCAACATTGATCACTAGTAACTGTATCTCCAAAAATGCTCTGGACAACGTTTTGCCCACATTTTTGACTCATCTTTTTGGTGCATTCCTCTAGAAATTGGTAGAAACCAGGTTCAGGCTCCGGAGGGATTGTAAGCTGGAAACCCTCTGTGTAAGGAGATGGTGCAATGTTGATTACCTCGGCAGCAACAGGGCTTGGGAGCATGGAAGCTGCTACCATTGATGAGACCAAAGCCACCAAGATGGAGAGATTGTTGAGTTTTGCCATGGCGGTGACGTTGGTTTTTGATGCTTGATTGATACCAATGCTCTCTTTCCAAAAGTGTTGATGGAGGAGAGATGGATTGGTATGAATTTTGAGGTTGAGTTAGGGGGCGTTTTTGTAGGCTACATATGCTTTGATCATTAATGTTTTAATAAAACGTTTCTTTAAATTTCTATGGGGTTACTAAATCAAATTCAATTATTTATGGGTATTTAATTGAAATTTTACGTTTAGGCCGTTTGAGAAGTAAGTAACGATGCTTGCTTTGATGGAATAGCACGTTGGCCTCCGTCGGTTTTAGATTTAAACAAAAACAGACAAGTACACGTATACAATTTAAGCCTTTATTGATTAAATGCATAATTTTTGAAATAACTCTTAAACTAAGGGTGAGTAAAATTAATTTGAATCAATGACTTAAATGAACCAACTACAATTTAAATAGAACGATTCGGTTCAATTAATTCATTAGATCTGTTAGTCCAAAAAGTTTGATCTAATTGATTTATTTAATCAGTTTTCGATTTTAAAATTTTTGGATCTAATTGATCAAAAGACCAAACTAATATTATATATATAATATCATATATATTATTTTAAATTTATATAAAATATAAATTTTCATTACTAATTTTCATTCCATATTTTATAATTATAGATGAAGTTTATTAAATTTAATATAGTAATTTGCAAAAAAATGATAAAATTTTGGTCTTTTTGATCCAAAACCGAATAGACCAACCAAACCAATTCAATATTTGGTTGATTCAGTCCTTTTTTATGTTAGGTCAATTTTTGTTGGTTTTCTAAAATTATTTGATGCATTTGGTCTTTAGGTATGATGGATCAAACCGCCTGATTATTTACCTCTATCTTAAACGATTTAAAAAATTTTAAATACATTTTTATTCTTTTGTTACATTCAATTAAATCTTTATAATCTTATTATAAATTAAATATACTCTTATAATTAACCATTAATTAATTATTATGAATCAAAATATTATTTATTATTTTATATTTATGTAGTGTTAATGCAAAGTGAAAAATATTATATGACCATGTCATCATGTCACATCAGCATATCATGTCATTATCTATTACGATATGTTAGAATGTTACATCAATATCATGAAACAAAGAATTAAAAGATATGAAAAAGTAAAAATTTAAAAATTATTCAAAATAAATGTTTTTAAAATTATAAGTAGTTTTTTTTTAGAGTTTTTAACTAACATAATGCTTTAAGAATTTTCTAAATTATTTAAAAAAATTTAAATACACACTTATTTTTCTATTACATTAATCAAGGGCTAAATGCTCAAATTGCGACTAAAGGTTTGGACACTTTTTCAATTAAAAGCCAAACAATGCAATTGTAACAATTAAGGATCAAAAGTTTCGATTCCTTATAATTAAAGACTAAGTTGATAGATGGATAAGTGTGTATCACACACGACAAAATCGCTTTAAAAATGTAGTTTTTATATATCATATTGAAAATTTAATTGTTAAACATTATATTGAAAAATGTATTTGTTATACGTAATGTTAAAAATTTAGTTGTTATACCCTTTATTGAAAAATATAATTATTTTATGGCATGTTGAAAATTTAGTTGTTACACGCTATATATAAAAAAAGTAATTATTACACGGTATGCTGAAGATCTAGGTATTACACACTATGTTAAAAATATAGTTGTTATTTATACGTTAGTTTAAAAAATATAATTGTTACACGCTATGTTGAAGATTTAGTTGTTATACATCATAATTAAAAAATTTAGTTATTACATGTCATGGTGAAAAGGTCGTTACATGTCATGCTATAATCTGAATCGTTTTGACTTAACAAAAAAGATATTTGACAAAATGATCCTTCCAAGTCAATGTTCACGTTATATGTGTGTCTTACACGTACCAAATACCTATTACTTTTAACCCTTAATTGTTAGGAACAAAAAACGTTTGACCTTAATTATTACAATTGAAACGTTCGATTCTCAATTGATAAAAACCCAAAGGTTTTGACCCAAAATTGAGTATTTATTCTTTAATCAAGTCTTATTACTTTTATTTTGAATAAAATAAATTTTTATGATTAATAATTGATTGATTGTAATTAACTGAAACATTTACTTCTTATTTTTTTATGTCACGTAGTGTTAATGTGGAAGTGAAAGTATTATGTGATTATATCATTATCTTTTATTACATATAAACTCACTATGTTAACATTATATGGTATAAAATAATAAGTAGTATTTTGAATAACAATAACTAGTCAATTATTAATTATTAATACTTATTTGATAAAAAATAAAAATACAAAATCTTGATTAAGTGTATTAAAAAAAATTTATTTAAAATTTTTAAAATAGTTTAAAGACTTTTTAAGATGTTATATTTTTTAAAAATTTAAATTTATTTGTTAAAAATATGATAATTTTCGATTTGTTGATGATATATGCATAATAATTTTGCTTTTGTCTTAATCCCAAAAATGGAATAACCCATATAACTTCCATTTTTCCATAAAAAAACAAAGAAGCGATTTTGACTCTGTGCCATCTGTTGACAAGTGGCATAAAAGTATGGTAAAGTCTGCCAGTACGGACAGGTAAGTCTCCCACTGTCGAAAATTCCAAATGAGGCAGGTACCGACGTTTCGTACATTGCAAAATGCACGTCTTTTCTAGCCTATTTACCCTTTTATCACTTCTTTAATGGAGAATCGTTACTCTGTGGACGGGTGCAGATAATTATATGAACACATGCCCGTCAGAAATTAAAACTCGTATAGGAAATACGGTCCCACAACTAAGATTAAACAGCAAAGGGACGGTTACAGAGTGGAATGGCAGTATCTGAATTTAATTAAACTTGCAGCGTGTGGACCCCATGAAGTTGGGGCGTTTCTTTACCGTCCGATATGCATT